CGCCAGTGAAAAGGGCGGTTGATGTCACCGTGGCCGTGCCCTACGGATAATAGAGTCCGCGACTTTAATGGACTCGCTAATCCTCTTCCCTGTTTGTCGGTGAGGGTTGCATCAAGGGATGCATTGAAGGGATGCACACGAAGGTAAAAATCGGGGCGGGGTGGTGTGACTGCACGCCGTACGTTTTCGGGCGTGTGCTAGGCTCAAGGAAGATGAAGAAAAACACACACACACAGACACATATACACTAACACAAATACGAACACAGATAGGTTAAGCTAGCTATACCTAGTCAGCCAGTCAGTCCAGTCAGCCGAGTGGTAATGGGGACAGGGAAAGGGAAAGGGAAAGGGAAAGGGAAAGAAGGGCATAGCCTGGTCGTACGCAAAATACGCCCCTCTTTTGCGGTACTCGCGATGATACCTTGATTCCTCGAGTGACGAATTAAGGGGGACCCTTTTTCTTCCCTTCCACCCAAACTTATAATTCGTGCTAGGATAGTAGAGCACCTGTGTTCGTTCAACCAAGTCTATTATTAGTCATTCCTTAAAGATATTATTTGTGATACCCCATAAACGTTATTTTCATTCAACGTATTATTGTACAATGACATTGGACATTAATTTAGGTTTTTTTTTTTTAAAAACAAAAATTATTAAAATATGTTGTGATTCATTATTTTGTTTACTATCCAATGGATTATTTGATTTGATCAGAAAATTCGTACAGATTTTTGATCAGGTCTGTCCTTTTTAATTATTTAATGGCCACTAACTCTTTGGGACACTGATCTGATATATAAAATAGTATATTATTATATATTTATTTTGATATACTTATGTGAGAAATGGATTATGGGAAATACAAAAAAATAAGGACAATAAATCCACACTATCTAAAATACCAATTTGTTTTACTTAACAAGTATGATAAAGATGAGATAATGAATTGATGATTAAAAATTTGAAACTCCCTTTTCTGATATTACACACATTCATTGAAAAATTCGGAATTTATTTAATTCATAAAAAATTCGATAATATGCACGAAGAGAAAAGAAAGTATTAAAAATAAGAAAGAAAAAGGATACAATTTGATTGATGATTCACACATTTTGATGAACAATTAACCTTGTCGACCATGTGGAATGGCGTTAGGTAACCCAGCTTGGATTTGCAATAATTGTCGAAGGTCCGAGGGTAATTGTTTTGAGTATTGCGGTTGTGGTTGTGCCTGGGGTTGATAATTACCCTGAATAGGGCCAGGTTGGTATTGAGGACGAGCCTGAGGTGCATGTCCAGCACCTGCAGGTGGCCTGTATTGTGCTGGTGCAACTGGAATTTGTTTGTAAGATGGTTGCTGTGGTGCCGAACCTAATCGAACTTCTGGCCTATAGGATGCAACTTGAGCTTGATTCTGATAAACTGGCTCCTGTCTTGGTCCATTTGCTAATTGTGGTGGGGGTTGGGCAGGAATGTGTACCAAAGGATCACGAAGTTGTTGGGATGCCAAAAGTTGTTTTATTTGTGCTGGTGCTTGGGAATACGGCCTATAGCTGATCTGTTGTTGTTGTTGTGCATGAGTTTGTCTCTTTTCACGAATATGATCTAAGAATTAAATTGATATTTTTTTTTTGTTTAATTAGAATAATTCGCACGTGACATATAAATTTTTGATTTGAGATAAATATTTGTTATTTTTCTTACCAACTAGATACAATTCTTCGCCTAATAGATCACCGAGAACATCAGCGGTTACGTAAATAGGAAAGATTACCAGTAAAAATATCTATAAAAGTATAGAAAGTTATCTATAGAAATATTATTTAAATACAAAACAAAAAATAGAAAATATTATATAATAATCTAATAAAAACATAAAACAGATTGGAATCTAAATAACATCTAATGGTATCTGATCGTTCAATGAGATCTACAAAACAAACTTACATACACGGACACAACACACAAAAAATTAATTACCAGCAATCTGATTCATAGGCAAACAAAACTTGGATATATCTACAAAAAAAAAAACAAATCCGATCATAAGTGGATACGAGAAATAAACCGGACGTAATTCGATCACGGAAACTAAAGTTTAAGGATTAATTGAACCTAAAGAAGAAAATATATAAACTATGAGAAAATACTTTCACCGTTCACCATGAAAAAAAAAAAATTTATTACGGGGATTTGCTCGAACGATTTAGAAATAAATCGATATGATGAATAAACGTGTTAACATATTTTTCTATGATACAAAATTAATAATAGAAGAACAAATATATAAGATAAAAAATGTGAAAAACTTACGAGAAAATTCATGATGAACGAAAACAAATTGATTTTCTTATTATGCACTTACTATTATGAGATAAGAGTATATTTAGTAAAGAACGGTGTCGTGAAATAAACTGCGAACTCTTAGCCGACTCACTTCTATATGGGCTAGCAACGTTTGCAGAATAACCCAACGAGCAATAGGCCAACCAACCAACCAACCAACCACCACCAGCTTTCACGGTTCGTCGATTCAGAAGGTGGCATTTTTTTCTTTCCTTTTCTTTTCTTTTTTTTTCTATCCGAGATTTTCGAGCTTCGAGTATTATAAGTGGTAAGCAAGCAAGTAAGTTACTTACACGCATAGGTAAGTAACCCCACACCCAACTGGAATCACGTAACTTGGATATGGATCAAGTCAGGAAGTGATCGAATGCCGGCCAACTGAAACAGAAATATTTTCTTATGTTGCTGATCGTTTTAACTATCTCTTTTTCTATCACTCATTCTCACTCACTCACTCACTAACTCACTCCATTTCTCTTTTTATTTTATTTATTTATTTCTATCTTTCTAGTTGACTTTTATTTTTATTGCGTATAGAGAAAAGTATGCGTGTATGTAGGTTCACGACCGAGTTTGTGGCAAAAGAAACATTTCGAGACTGGACTGGATAGGAAGCGTTTCACGTTCACAAAGAGAAAGAGAAAGAGAATGTGAAATTGAGTGAGAGAGAGTGAGAGAGAGAAGGAAAAGTGACCGTTCTGAACTTTTGCGGACTTAAACACGATACTAGAAACGTATCGATTACGATCTATCTTTCAATATAATGTTATGGAAAGAAATGATAAGGAAAATTTAAAAACAAATATGTGTATTTAAATTATTTATTATAATTCACCTATTCCATTTTGTTTTAAAGAAAAATAGAAATTACAAATTAAAATGTGAAAATTTCATTAGTTAAAATATAAGAAAAGTATTTGATTTGAATTACAATTTTTATTCTATAATTTATTTATACTATCTTAAGATTAAATA